CTAAGATAGCGCTTTTCTAAAAGGCGCTATTAAAATGTTGTATTACAATAGCGCTTTTAAAAAAGCGCTATTATTAAAAGCACTACGATAGCGCTTTTTAAAAAGCGCTATTAAAATATGTAACTACAATAGCGCTTTCTATGGAACCGTTATTGTTTCTATTATTGTGTTTTAAGATAGCGCTTTTTTAAAAAGCGCTATTAAAATATTCCACTAAATTAAATTAATTAAAATATAAAAACCTGGCCCAAATGTTTTTCATTTTCTCCCACGCGAAAATCTTTCTCCCACGCGAAATTCTTTCTCCCACGCAAAGCAAAATTCTTTCTCCCACGCAAAATTCATCAGGTCACCACCGCAAAATTCATCAGGTCACCACCGCAAGATTCTTTCTCCCACGCAAAATTCATCAGCTCACCACCGTCATCCTTCTCCGTCGAAAGGAGCCGCCGTCATCAGCTCACCACCGTCACCCTTCTCTTCATTGATATCCGGTAATCTTTCTTTTTCTCAGATTATTACTTTGTGTTAAATTTTAAAATTAGGGATTTGAATGCTTTGTGTTGTAATTTGTGTTAGTAATTTGAATGCTTTACGCCATGGCTTTCTCTTCAAACCCCAATCCCCAACAACACCAACGAATCACTGTTGGAAGATTAACCAAAGTAAGATTAGAGATTTGAATTTGATTAGAGTACATGAGTTCAATCATGTTAGGTCTAGTGATTTTCAATTGATGATTGCGGAACTTGTTCCACCAATATGATCCTTGTCCATCAATTGTTCCATTGTTACCGGTAATTACCACATCAGTGAGATTAGTTCCAAATATGAGACTGCTAGACCATCTATCAGTAATTACTCCATATCGACCTTTTCCGTAAGATGGTAAAACAGGAAGTTGGGGCCATTCTGATTCATCCTGTGTCATAGAAATGTCCCTTTAATTGAATATAAAATTTCCAAATGCTACAAAATAAAAGTCATCGTAAATATATATACCTGAGATGCAAGAATGACAGCGTCTTTTTGGAGAAAAAGTGTGAAATGGCTTGTGAGGTTGAAGCTTCCAGTGAGCCATTTACCTGGTGGAACAATAAGTTGTGCACCACCATCGTTTGCATATTGGCTTAGGTTAGTTATTGCTGAATTAAAAGCCTTTGTGTTAGAGGTTTTTCCATCGCCAACACCACCGAAATCTGTCAAAACTGCACTGTGTTCCACCTACCACCCTTATCCACCTACCAAACTCAACCTTCACTTTCATTCGATCACCCTTATCCACCTACAAAACTCATGTTCCACCCCGCAACCCATTCACCCCTTCAGAAAACATCTTCTTATATCCAAGGAGATGACTGAAACTTAATCCATTCATTATTAATTACATATAATATTTAATATATTTAAGATTCAGTTAGCTGGTTGATTGTTTGTTTAGTTGGAACTTGGATTGTATGAGCTTCACTGTGGCACTGCCATCTTAAATAGTCTCCTAGCTTCCTCTGTTTTTCACTTTTTGACCGCGCGTGGGTTTTTAGACCTTTGAGTTACCGTGGTGCCGATGTTTTCATATTGGCTTTCTCTCTCATAAGCAAGGCTAGTTATGAAAATGTCTCCAAAAAGGTGCTTGCTGGCTTCCATTTTGATATGGTGTCCCTTATAGAATGTTTAGTCTATCAAAACTTGCTAATATGTTACATGTGTTCGTTTCGTTTTCAGTGGATTCCAGAGTTGAAGCATTATGCACTTGGTGTCCCCATAATTCTGGTTGGGACAAAACATGGTATGTTTGTTGCTGCATAATGTGATATTGATATGCTGATGCTGTTTTCTCTATATTTATATATGGTATTAGTCATGGTTTATGTTTTGGTGAAATCATATTGCCCCATGCATTTCATGATCAACAAATATTGATGTTTTAAATATCCTTGACAGTTTCCATTTGTTGAACTGGTTAATTACTGAACCAGTTTGCTGTGTTTGTTAAGGGAGAGGGTGGGATTTCTGTTGCATTTTATTCTATTTTTTCTGTAGTGTTTCATCTCCATTGTTTTTCCACTGGTATCTGATACTTTAGTTGTGGTCAATGTTTTGGTGTTTCTGCTTTTCTGGTTTGTTTTAGTTTTATTCATAAAAAGTTGTATATGCAATTAGGATTTCCCTGTTTCCAAATTTGTGTATATATATTTTCAAATAGTCTCCGCTCCAAATGAGTTGTGTTAGCTTCTAGTTACACGAATGGCTTTTTCCACAATCTGTACCTACAACATCAATTAGCTTGCTAAATATATTGAATGTTACTTGCTGTTCATTTTCTGTTGAGTTCAAATGTACAATAATTCACTAAACCAGTTTCAGTTGGTGCTCTTCTTTAATGTTTTATGTTATGGCAAATACTTTGTATACTTTCAAATCATTTTGACAAAATGTTTTATGTTATGGAATAAAGTTGTATACTTTTAGATCATTGAGTTACTTGTTGAGAAAATGTTATAGCATTGCATACTCTAATTACATACAATTCCATACAATTCCATACAATTGCATATTTCAGAATGCTGCTTTTGGGGTTTTGGCCTTGTAATTACTTAGAGTAGTCCACTTGGAGGTGACTCAATAATTCAACACAATTCTAACCCCATCCTACATCCAACACATAACTAACATTTCCCTAACTAACTAGTTCAAGTTGCTAACTGACTCGCTCCATCTAATAGAATTAACCATTCAACAAACTCATAAACAAACCAAGCTCCATTTAGCACAAAAAAGTGACATGGCTGCACATTACAAAAACCTTAGCCTTGGAAGTGAACATGACCTTAGTCATGATGACTCAGCTGAGAATTCTGCTGCCATCTTCTCTCAAATCGGTAACCCGAAAGGGCGATGATCGATGGCGACGAATAAACTATTAGGATGATGATTGTTTCTATTGTAGAAAAGAGCTTCTTGCTTGATTGAAGGTAGAGAATTCTAGAGTACAGTGCTAACTTTGAGGATTGAATTTAGAGTATGCAATGCTTAGAGTATGAATTAAGCATAGAAAAGACATCACATCATTGCCTTTTACAGCATGTCGTTGTTTTTACTCTTGTTGTGATATATCCATATCCACAATTATTAAATGGCTAATCCATTTCTTATACTCCTATCTTACAGTAACATGAAAACAGTGCAATTTAATTTATAGTTATTGTCATGACACCGACCTTTGCTCCAGAATACTCGGGAACTACATAAGTATCTTATTTTCAAAGTTTATCTATGAAATATAGTATTGACTTCATGTTCTTTGCAGTTTTTTCCTGATATTATATTGAAATAGAAACAATAATGTTGTTCTGATCTAACTCAAAAGTCAAAACAATAGTTCTATTTATTTTTAACCATTATAATAGGACTAGGACACTAAAATTGTTCATAGGGTATTGGTTTTATTAATACTACTCCTACATTATTAATTAATACAACATTTAAGTTTTGGCATTGTCTGATTTCTGGCACTATGTGATGCATGTGTCATTATTGTGGGAATTCAGATAGGTGTATTCTGATTTAACTATTTTGCCTTATTTAGTGTTCTTTTATGTATGGAGTTGCTGTAGAAGATGTTAACACTTTCCATATAGTATCTATTTCCATGTATTGCCAACTTAGAGAGTGTAGAGAGAGTAAAAGTAGCTAGCTGGCACAAGTGTGTCTGCATTAGACAAACATTATGTTAACAATAATTACTCTTATCTTCATTAATGGTTGACTCTGTTAGTTGTGTTGGTAATTGATTAGTGACTCGAGGTTTCAAGTTGTGTTGCAGTTGGTCATCATGTGAAGTTAGTTAGCTTGAAGGTGAGTTGAAGGTAGTTAAAAAGGGTCAGTTAGGATTCTGTTAGCAAATGGATTTGAGCTGGTTAGTTATAAAACTGTTATGAATGGTTACAAAACTAGTTTATGCTAAATGTTGAGAGAAATTAGAGATCCAGCTTGTGCTAACTGTTAATGGTGAATTGATAACAAACTATGTTAGTATGTTAGGTTATGCTAACTATTGTGGAAATTAGTTTGATGTTTGCTTTGGCTCGACATGAGGAACTAGCTGACTGATGTCGATGTTGATGAATGGTAGGCAATGAACTCTTATGGCTGTTATATTAGGATTGTCAGCTCTGTCAGGCTATTGTGATTTTATTTTGGAAAATCTGTTATGAGCTTGCTAAATGGCCATTGTTCATGTTTGGATATACTGTTAATGGTTTGAATATACTTAGGTAAAAAAAATTCTCATATTATAATCAGTAGTATCTCTCTTAAATCTAAAATATATATTCACACTTACAAATATATGCTTTTCCAATATAGATTATATTCACTTGATTAAAAATTCTGTCTATTAATGAAATGGGGTCCATGGCCAATTCAGGTACTGTTATTGGAGCCTTTTGTTTCAACTCTGGAACCACATGTTCTGCAAGTTACAAGGGCTTGATATTGCTTTTTCAATCAATAACGTTTAGCACTTAAACTGGTAAGTCTCTGAAGAAGTGTGTAGACATTGTAGGAATTCTAGACACATCTTATAGAAAAAAATAGAGCTTGAGAACAAAAATCTCTAGACAATGTTCATATCTTAATATGGTATTTGACATTGAAACATTAAGCTATCAAATGGCTCAAAAACCCCTTTTACTTCATGTTTTTAAGATTTTTGTTCTTGTTCTGATTCTCAAATTTATATTGAAAAAGGTGTGGTTCATACATAGAGATTTGTGTTTATGAGCCCAATAAATTCTTAAGAAAAATGTTATTATAGGTCGCATGTTTCTTTAATTGTTAATTATTTTATAGATTTAATATAAGTTTTTGAGAGAATATAAGTGATCAAATTTTCTTTATAATATGATTTCTACAACAATATTTTAAAGGATTTATTCTTTTTCATGGTTGATGTTGTTAAACCATTTCAGGTTCTATATTTTCAATCTCATTTTATTGTTATGACTTTTGTTAATGTTCCCCTATTTCTAAAACATGTTTATGATTCTAAATTTTTACATGTTTATGATCCTAAGTTTTTAGTCAAGGTTAATATCGAAGTTGCTATTGTGCCAAATGCTCAATTGCCTATATCTGTTGAAGGTGGTGATGTATCGATGGTTGGTCAGGCAATAGGAACAATTGTGCCATGGCCAATGAACCTTCTTGAATTTGTTGCTGAACGTGAAAAGGTAAATTACTTATTATTAACTTGCTTGATCGTTATTTGTTTTATTATTTGATCACTAACCTTAATTAATAAAACTTTTTAGAATCCTGATCAATCCCAAAACAAAGTTAAGAATACCCAACGAAGTGTTGATTCTGTTTCGTCACCTAACAAAAGCAACATAAAATTCAAAATTGAAGAGTCTCCTAGAGTTGGCGGTTCAACCAATCTTGTAAATTTACCTTTCCTTGATATGTATGTGAAAAAGATGATGAGGGTTGGATCGTTAATTCAAATAAAAATGGAGGAAAGTATATTTGGTGAGGAGTTTATAGAGCATCTACGTGTAGAGAGTATAAAAGAGATTCTTGATCACAATTGGTTAAGTGCCTCTGTTATCACTGTATTTTCCAGGTACCTCTATTATTACAAATTTCCTCTAATCTGACAAATATATTAATATTTACATTGCTGACAAATATATTAATACCAATTATTGTTGTTCATTTCTAGGTATTTGTATGACAAGTTTATTAGTCCAAATGGATTAATAAATAAGTTCTCCTTCATATCCCCACATGTATCAAAGGAGGATAATCTAGGAAATGCTATAGCAAAAATACTTCTGAAAGATGAGGAGTATTTCAAGGATAAGATGATTCTTGCACCTTGCAATCTAGGGTGAGTTTTCTATTCAAAATGTTATTAAATTTATGAGAAAAAACTATATAAGTATATTATATGCATCAATATTATATGTATTGCAATGGAAGGTGAAGTATCCAAGTTCTGAGTGTATTGCAATATTATATGTGTTGTAGGAAACATTGGGTACTACTTGTCATCAATCTCGATGCTGAGGTGATATATTACATGGATCCGTTGAATGGTGAACCAACTAAACATCAAAATTTAAAAACCAAGTTTGAGAAGTAAGTATAGACTCTTTTAATTTAACATTTATATAAGTATTCTTAGTTATAATAATTACTCATTTGAAGTTAATTTCATTTTGTTAGTGCATTGCAAATTTATCGTGCTAATAGTAACTCTAAAGTGCCTAAAGTCTCCAAGTCAAAGAAAATTTCATGGTCAAAAATTCGGGTATGTCCAAATTAACGTTATTTTAAAACAATTATGTATAGTAAAAGTAATATATGTAAATGTTTTTTTGCAGTGTCCCCGTCAAATTAATAGCATTGACTGTGGATATTTTGTAATGCGATTTATGAAAGAGGTCATCATGGAAAATGAAATTATGATCCCCATAAATGTACGTGATTTTAATTGTTAAAGCTTTGTAAATTAATGTAACTTAGTTCTAACACAATTGTTGATGTTTTTATATTTGAAGTACTTTCCTGACCACAAGTGTCGTACCTACTCTAAGGATAAGTTAACTGAGGTCAAAGATGATTGGGCTACCTATATGGTGGATGATATTTTCGGTAAGCCTACAATATATAGATACTTAATACTTTATTTGCATATTAAAAGTTCACTAGTGCTTCAAAAGTTTAAGTGCTAACTAATTGTGATCTCACTACCATTTAGTCTTAATTAGTGTACTTAGTTTCTATTTACTTTTTTTATTAAGTTGATTTTCTTTCTACATGCTAATGTCATTGAACCACTTATCTTTAATTATATATTAATATTTTGTTTTCAGGTTTTTGTTTTCTGATTATTGTACAATACATAATCAATATTCTTTCTATGATGCAGGAAAACAAGAAGCAATGATTTTGCCTAGCTAGCTAGCAAACTGGTTGTATCTTTGGATGTAGCAATATTTTGATTGGCAAAGTGGTTACTAGCTAGTTGATGTTGTTTTTGTTGTCCTTAATTTTCTTGTTTTTTTAGATGTTTTTTTTCATTAGTTTAGAGAATATGCCTAGCTAAGTGATTGTACTTTTTGTTTGGAATTTGGTTTGAAGTACTCTTAGCCAAATTAATAACTACATGACAAAATACTTTAGTTGTGTTTATAAAATATTTTGGTTTGAAGTACTCTTAAGCCAAATTAATGGTTTAAGTACATTTGTCATTATTATTTTAATTTCAAGTATTTTAGCTACTTAGTTATAATTATTTTATGAATTCTAATGTTGTAAAATGCAAATGTCATATATATATATATATATATATATATATATATATATATATATATATATATATATATATATATATATATATATATATATATATATATATATATATATATATATATATATATATATATATATATATATATATATATATATATATATATATATATATATATATATATATATATATATATATATATATATATATATATATATATATATATATATATATATATATATATATATATATATATATATATATATATATATATATATATATATATATATATATATATATATATATATATATATATATATATATATATATATATATATATATATAAAATGATTTGGTGTAAAAAAAAGTGTATTAGAATAGGGTTTTGAAGAGAGCGTGCTATAATAGCGCTTTGCCAGAAAGTGCTATCAAAATTTAAGCAATTTACCGGTATTTCAATAGCGCTTTGTCAGAAAGTGCTATCAAAATTTAAGCAATTTACCGGTATTTCAATAGCGCTTTGTTTGAAAGTGCTATTAAATATGTGTCTTATAATAGCGCTTTGTTTGAAAGTGCTATTAAATATGTGTCTTATAATAGCGCTTTAATGGAAAGCGCTATTAAATATGTGTACTATAATAGCGCTTTCTTTGAAAGTGCTATCAAAATTATAGCAAATTAACGGTGCTATAATAGCGCTTTATTGGAAAGCGCTATTAAATATGTGACTTATAATAGCGCTTTTTCAAAAGCGCTATTAAATACAGGTACTATAATAGCGCTTTTTCAAAAGCGCTATTATAGTACCTGTATTTAATAGCGCTTTTAAAGCGCTATTAAAAATATTATTTTACAATAGCGCCTTGATTAATAGCGCTTTAAAGCGCTATTAAAAATCAAAAAAAGCGCTATTAAAAAACTTTTTTGTAGTAGTGCCTGATGGATATCAGGTCATCTTCTCCAATTCAAACCTCTGAAACTCGCGCGCAGCTCCGGCCACCACCGGTGGTTCTCCGGTCATCGTTCCACAACCCTAGTTCAACATAGAGTCCACCATAGGCCACGATCCCTTAATGAAACATGTCCCAAATTCCCTCACGAATTCATTCATGCCCTTTATTCTCTCTGAAACCTCAAGATTCGCCATAACCAATTCTCAACCGAAAATGGTAATATCCCTAATTGGTCACTAATTCTCAAATTAATGGTCTGAAATCATTCCTACACCGTTCTACAATGCATCTAACACCCTAATTCATCTTGATTCTACCTAATTCATGCTGGAGGAAGAAAGTTACTAACCTGAAAATTCTTGATGAACAGATGCACTAAATCTTCAAATCAAGCTCTCCAACCTTCCAGACACGATCAATGGATCATTTCCTTGCTTCTGTATGCAATAGAACTGGTTGAAAACTCCTGAAACTTGAAATCCGATGGTGAGTTGCAGATGGAAAAATATGAGCTCAAGAACACCAATCAGCCACGAATTCCTCTTGATTATGATCTGAACTCAATCCCTAGCATCCATGGAAGAAGTTGCAATCAAGAAAATGGATGGAAAGTGAAGAAATTGGTGAAACCGAATTCAGTTGCAAGCAATGAAATCTCAATCTCAATCTATGCTCTCTCCTTCAATCATCACCAACCTTTCATCTGAACCTCTTCTACTCAATATATAGAACATGTATGGGTGATCTAGAACCCTCTAGACCCTTCTAATGAGAGTTTCAATCTCTCATGACATGAGGATTTCAACCATATGCCATGATATGCATAATTTTGTTTGCAGCTTGAAACCAATCCCATTCTCTTCCAATTTCTCCCCTAGTGACATTTTGAAAGTGTTTGGCTTGCAAGGGATCTTGCTCATGCCTTGAATTTGAGTTTTGCAAATGTTACTTAAGATGTAAGTAACTACTTTTCAAAGCAAGTCCACAAATTAAACCTCAACTCAAAAATGTGGCTAAACCAATGTTCTTAAAATGTTTTCTAGAGTCAAAATGATATATTACATGCCATGGTTTGGATGTCTAGATCAAAAATATCAATTTCCAACTTTGGTTTACTTAACTTATACCCTTATTTTAGGTCATTTTTGCAACTTTGAGCTACAAACATTTCTAACATCTCATGACCACTTTACTAGCCTTAAAACATCATTTTGAACAAGTTTGATGTTGAACATTTTCCCATTTGAAGCTTGGAAATGGGAGTTATGGCCTTATGCTTGAAATGACCTATAATCTCCAAATGACCAAAATGCCCTTGACTTGTCAAAGCCATAACTTGAGTTCTACAAATCCTATCAAGGACTTCTAGTACTCTCTAGAAATCTAAGAGGATAAGGAACAACATTCATGTTGACCAAAAGTTCATAGGAGTCATCCTTCTTGGGCAAAAGTTTGATGCAAGTTGGGCAATTTTCAAGCTCCCAAATTCACATACCTCAGATGACTTGTAACTTGTCAAAGTCATAACTTGAGTTCTACAAATCCTATCAAGGACTTCTAGTACTCAAATTAAAGCTAAGAGTATGATATACAACATTCATGTTGGGGGCAAAATGAGATGACAATCACATCTTGAGCTAAACTGCCTTGAAGATAGGGGTCAAACTAGGGGATTTTACACTGTCAAGCCTTAGAAACCCTAGCTTGAAACTCATCAAACTCTTCAATCATGATGAGTTGACCTTGGAATCATCCTTATAACATCTCAATGTATCAATCCATGATCACATGGCTCTTGGATTAGGTCTCAACCCTCTCCAAATCATCAGTTGACCTAGGGTTGACCCAGTCAAACCCTAGTTGCACCACTCATGGCTGAGTCTTCTTAATCTTGCACAATGACCTATCTAGGCCTCATGATGACTTTCAAGACATCTCATAAGCTCTCTCAAGGCTTCAAGTCCACATTCCTGGCTTCAGAATCATCTGAGGAGCTCCCACAACTCTCAAGTTAGGAGGCACACTCTCTTGGTTTCAACCACTCTCTCTGAGGATCTTTTGACTTCTCTGACAAGGATATCAACCCTTGAGCATTTGAATAACCTTCTTAGTTATCTTCAGAGTCTTGCATAGCCCTTGATTGGGCAATCATACCTCTTGATCTCCTGCATACATGTTTATGAAATGCAAATGATAATGCTAATGTGAATGAAATGAAACATAAGCTAGGTAAAGAAATGTTGGTCAAATTTTAGGGTGCAACATGCGCCAATACCATCAACACGGATTGAATCATCAAGAAGAGAGTGACTTGTCACTCGATTTCGACACTGAACTTCTCGTTTGAATGATTTGAATCGCCTGAAACGCGAGCAAAGCGGCTAAAATCTTGATAAATTCAATCCGGCTGATAATAAGGGCAAGATGCGACCTAAATGATATGCAGATGAAAATGAAGCAAAAGGCAGTCAAAGTTGGAAAATCGGTGGGCAAATTTTAGGGTGCAACAGGTTGGAACTAAGACATATCCAGGGAAAGTAAAACAACGCAACAGAGGATTTTAGAACTGCATCAGCGTGTGAACAAATCCTAATTCATACCTTGAAGTTTTACAGACAAAACTCAAAATCTTCCCATAATCCTTCTTGAAATCTTCCATAACACCATGATCAACCATAGAAATGAGACCAAATAAAGGAACTAACTCCTGCATCGGGAACTTGTAAGTGATAGTCCTTTTCAAGCTAGGCTCAATGGTGACAGCAGGTCAGATCACTAGAATCAAAGGGAAAATGAACACCTGAAATCATAAATACATGTAAATGTTAATATGCAGATGAAAATGCAAATGCAAATAAGGGATCAAGACTGTTGTGCTACTGACTGAGTTGGACCAGAATTCCACTCCGGTAAGAAAATACCAGAACATCATAACACCAAAGTATAGGAACCCGCAAAATCAAAGGTCTGCACTGACGAGAAAACCAGAAAACTGGGTTGGTTGAAGGTCAAGTTTCCTACATAACCCCTCACACTCACAGGTGGGACCTAATCTCTGATAAGGTACGACATCCTATGCAGGTCGTCAATATCACGGACTCTCAAGTCGAGAAACTATGATACGTTCACCATTTCTGGTTTGGCATCATGGTCAAACGAGGAGGCCTCAACTGACTTCCCAATGATCGGTCTCCAGAGTCGTTAATTTTCAAATCCAACATCCTTTCAGCTGTCTGCGACGTACAGGACAAGATGTCTTCAAAGAAATCTCGTCTGAACGCGAATTTCATGAGGACTATTGCATGCCAAACATGCAAGCCCTCACTAATTTCTACACTAGTGCTAGGTATGTACTCAAGCCTGGGCGTTGGGCTTATCTCTCGATGGAACAACTCCACCCAACAACACAACAACAGTATGATAATAACAATAAAGTGCAGAAAATAAAATGCAAATGCAACAATTTACAAATACAACACATATGCACCCACAAACATAATACAAAAAAGCTCTAGGAATGACTCGTATAGGGAACCAGAGACTCTGGGTTTGGTCCCCAGCAGAGTCGCTAGCTTTCGCAACTGCGAAAAAGGGCCGACAAAGAGACAAAAGAGTCGCCACTAAACTTTATTTATCCCAAAGAGAGGGAAAGGAAACAATCGAAGAAAACCTAAAGGAAACGGGAAAGATAAGGTCAT